GTTCGTTCGAAGTACAAAATTATCTTTTAGAATATCTTAATGCGAATAGTAAAGTACAAAATAGTATTAATGAACAGCGTCTGATTCGAATTATTACATGGATTATGCAACATTTCGCAACGAAAGAATGTCCCGTATCTAATGTACTTTATAAATATATAATATCACTTTTTCACGATCAAAAATTCTCTCGAATACAAGAAACAATTATTCATAGTTTTCAATATATATTTATGAAGATGTTTGGGAAGAATGTTTTTACGAATCAAGATGTAAAACTACTTTTGGAAGATACAATTAATCTGTGTGTAAGAACTATAGATGATAATTCAGAAAATCTCTTAGCAAACTGTTTACATGCTTACGGATATTGTCTACGTTTCTATAAATATTATTGCAATGAAAAGCCATCAAATGAGATAATCAAATTGTTGACTAAACTTTCTCAAACATATTCATCGTCATTCGTTGCTATAAGAGCTGGTCAATGTTTACTAATAATCGAACTGTATATTGATCGTGGTTCAATTTCTGATTGGCTCAACAAAACTAATCTAAATGTCGAGCAAATATATAACATATTCATACACTGTACATCCGATGAACATCAATTATTAGGATATTTCAACAAAGAAAAAGCATTGAATCATATTTTACTACAGCATTCAACAGATCTCCTACCTAAATTTATCAATGAAATGTACATGTATTTAAATGAAAAACCTATGAACTGTAATCTTTCTAAGCGATTATTTTCCTATATCAATGCAACTGAGAATTTATGTCGAGATAATTTTACTATATTTCGTACTATTATGGAAAAATGTTTCTATAATATAGAACAATTCAAAATTTTACTCTATCAAATAAGCAAACAGGGAAATAATGATATTCAAAAAGAATGTATTTTATTATATACTCATTTTGGTGAGGTTACTTCTGATTTTATTACTATGTTGCTAAATAATGTTCAATATGCGATGTTTTTATCACCGCGAATAGAAGCATTAATAGCTAATAAACGAATATTATTAGATCGAGACATAATTGAACATTTACATGAAGCATTACAATTACCATCGAAAGAAAAATGTGCTCTACAATTACTGACATATCTTGCTCAAGTTGATTTTATATCAATTTTGGAAGTATTTAAGCAAATTGCAGATATCATCAACAAACGATATTCTCTGGAGGAAAACAACTATCAAAAGGACTATGAACAGTTGATCGAAGCCTTACTAAAGTTTACTTGCATTCAAGCTGGTACTCTATCTTCTGGTAGGTTATCACAACTGCAGTGCATGATGCATTTTCCATTTTAACAGAAAACTTTTGCTTTTTCATCTATTTTTGTCTTCGAATTATAATGAAATATACTTAGCGCATACTGAAAGGTCAATAAAACTTTCAATAACTTCCAAATAAGTATTATATAATTGCAAGTAACGTTCATGGGCATGCCGATTCATTTTGCCCTGGACTGACGGGACAGACACATAGACATAGTTACATCTAGCTATAAAGGTGCAATGACGAAGGGTGGGTGTGGGTGTGGGTGTGGGTGTGACTTTGGGGTATGGGTGTTGGTAGAATATGATACCCACACCCACACCCACAAGGTTATGATAAAATTTTGATTTTAAAATGTTACTGAATGAATATAATAAAATCGTCAAAAAACAAATTTAAGAATGTAAATGGTTTACTGTTGGTAGTGTTATACTAACTAATCTGGATTCAATAAACTCTAAAAAAATAGATGGAAGGCGGAATATGTACTAAAATCGCTTATATAACATCAAAGGTATCGAGGGGTCCGTATAGACCCACACTTCAGTTTTCTAACCGGAAGGCTTCAGTACGAAGTTCAATATGGTGTATATACATCATCATATGACTAACGATTAGCAGAGAGATGACACCGAAAATGATGCATCTGCGTGTAGAAAAATCAAAAAAATAGCGTTGTGGGTCTTGTCGGACCCACAAAAGCCGTTCGAGGGTTAATTAAGTTGTCATATGTTTTGTGTATTTGAAAGTTAGGAAATAAAAATAGGGTGTGAATGTGGCTGTATGTCAGTAATTGTCAAGTATTTTATCTTTTGTGATAAAACAAAATAAAACGTCTTAACATAGTAATAAATTCTTTGAAAAATCAAACTTTGCTCATTTTCAATTATTTTATAAGATAAATATTTTACAAATTAGTTAACGATGTTTTGCATATAATGAATGGTGTGAGTATGCACGTGCATGAGCAAAGATACGGAAAGTATAGTCATCTTTGATCCATACGCTTACCCCTAAAATCAATTTGAAGAAGGTTTGAATAGAACTCTTTTTACTAACTGATAAGATCCATTCATCATTTTCAGTTTTGCTTTTTCATATATTGAATTTCGAGTTGAATTCATGCATCTTTTTTATGTCTCTTAGAAGAATACATCCTATCGTGATGAACAATTCTGATTTTTATATATCTGATGCAAAAATACTTATTGCGCATAGAGAAACAAAGAACGTGATTAAAAATGAGTCCTGATAAAGCAGATTATTTAAGACAGTCAAATAAAAGAAGACATCAAACTAATCATGACTTATTCATTGACGTCTATCATTTATTGACGATGATAGTTGATATCTTATTTTCAGTTAAAACACGTCCGATAATTAATCTAGACTTTGATCAATTCTTTTTTTCTCGTTATCATGTTCTTATCCACTAAAATTAAAGATCTTTCTATCATATCAAAAAAAAGAAAAGTATCATGTTGAGTTTAAGTTCCATTTTGTATTTTCGAATTTCGAAAAAAATAAAATTAAATGATCAATTTTGTTTATTAATTCAATCTAAAATCTGGTTTTTATCTTACCTACGACAAAACCTTCTCTAGAACACTATTTTTTCTCTTTATATTATCTTCGAAGAAATGAATAAGAGAAAAAGAGAGAGATATATAACTAGAGAGAAAATCTACAATGAGTGTCATTTTGTTTTCATCAAAGACAAAGAAGAAGAAGCTTATTCTATTAGTTAAATAATTTATCAAACAAATCTTGTCGAATGATGTTGAATATCTACGTATTTATCATCATTCTTCTGTTCATTCTCAACAATGAAACATCAGGTAAATACTTTTGTTTATCAAATACTGAAGATCAGCTATTGTTCAAAAATAACACTATTCGTTAAGATCTTGAGATGAGAATGGGACACAACAGAATAGAAAGAAATCTATTTGATCATATCAGATTATAGCATATGATAAAAAAGGATTAATTGACTTTTCCAGATGAAATCGAAATCAAAAAAAGAAAAGATGAACAAACTGATGTAAATGAAAACGACATTTTATGAAATTATTTGACTAATATGGTTTGCGATAAGATGTAGATACATTTATTTCATACAGATCACCATCTTCATTATATAAAAAGTACTATGACTATGATTAAATAACTATATTGTGTTTGATGTACTCAAACAGTTTTATGTATAAAAAGAGAAGTGAGGTATGAAGTCAGTTGATCATCCACTTCTATATCGTTATATTACTTATTCTTATAAAAAATGAAAAGGATTTAAAACTTTTGAACTGCACAAAAGAAAAGCATCTTTTTTTTAGAACATATGAAATTATTTCATAGAAATGACTTTGATTGATCAATGAAACGATAAATATTCTTCATCGATACTTTCGAGACAAGATTCCTTGTGAGAAAATATTAACTTTTAAACTGTAGAAATAAATACATCTGCTAGAAAAAAAGAGCACAAATCATATGATAATGTAGAACTAAATTGCGCGTGCAAAATTTATGATTGACACTACCATCTTTATCACTAGACTATCACAAAAGAATATTGTTAGGTAAGACAAGATTTGAATCAAAGATAAAATATAGATAAGTTTTTCGTATCTTTAAAAGGAGTCGATGATTATTAATATTGTTTTCTCAAAATATTCGAGTTGAAATAATGAGAGGAAAAAAAGAAGAAGAGGAGGTGTTAGATTAAATTAAAGTATTATTTGAAATTTTCTTAAATAATTTCTTTGAATGACTACTTAATTAAAGATTAGCACGAGAATTTTCTCCTCTCTTTCACATATTAGATTTAACTGAAATGATTTAAGATGAATAAATTCACAATGTTTTTCATATGAACATTAGAATTGATTTTAAAATTCAAAGGCATTTTGTTCAGATCTCAATCACAATTTCAAGAAACTCGTTTTCATTCTAAACAATTCTTTTCCCTCCTTCCACTTCATTTTCATTGAACTAATAAAAAAATTAATTTGATTATTTTTTTGTCTTCAATGTTAATCATATATTTTCAAGGATCAAACATAATTATTTTTCTTTTACAACAAAAAAATTTATGAATGTAGTCCTCTCTTAGTTGATATTTACAAGTCATCCGAGAAAATAGAACAACAATCATAGGAATCTTCTCAAAATTGATCTCAATGAATTTTTTCACGAGAAAACATAAATTAACAATTTAATTTCGTTTACAGTTCTTTTTTAATATTCTTTCTATTTCTCTCGTTTTAGCTCTTTCATTCAATCAGCCAAAGTTTTCTCCTACACCTTTTTGGAATTCCAATGGAGTTACCATTGCTAATCGATCGATTGTTGGTGAAAAACCTTGGGCCATTTTTGTGAACACAAACAATACAGTCTATGTCGCTAATCGTGAAAACAGCACAATTCTAATATGGCAAGAAGAGAGTCTCAATCCAACAAAGATCATTCACGGTAATTTTACAGAGCCCTATTCTCTCTTCGTGACGTCAAATGGTGATATTTATATGGATGATGGTGAGAAGAACGGTCGAGTGCAAAAATGGATAGCAGAAACAAATACCTTTGCCACGGTGATGAATGTCAACTCATCATGTTATGGTTTGTTTGTCGATAACAATGATACTCTTTACTGTTCAATGCGCTATCGTGATGTAGTAGTGAAAAGATCATTAAATAATTCTGACATGAATTTGAATCGTGTTGCTGCTGGAACGGGTATTTTCGGATTAGCTTCGAATCAACTCAATCAACCTCATGGAATCTTTGTTGATGTGAATTTGGATTTATATGTGGCAGATTGCCTAAATAATCGTGTTCAGTTGTTCCAGTCGGGAGAATCAAATGGCATCACAGTAGCTGGATACGCATCACTTAATCCAACAATTACACTTTATTGGCCAACTGGAATTATATTAGATGCTGAGAAATATTTATTCATTGTGGATCAACTCAATAGTCGCATTGTTGGTTCAAGCTTGAATGGTTTTCGATGTTTAGTTGGATGTTACGGAGGCGGGGGGCAATCCAATAAATTGAGCGGTCCACTTAGTTTGAGTTTTGACCGTTCTGGAAACATGTTTGTTACTGATACATCAAATCATCGAATTCAAAAATTTTTCCTGATGAAGGATTCTTTTGGTAAGTTGAAGAAAAGTTGAATGAAATGAAGAGATGTGAATAGATAAATAACAGAAGTTAATAAAGATATTTGAATATAAAAAACGAAAGAAAACAAAAATGATTGAGTAAGATTAATTAAACCAATGTGTAAAAGAATGTGTCTAAAGAAATGAAATGTTTAGATTAGACAGAGCCATGCGTCAATTGCTTGAGGCAAACAATCTTGGTGTTTTCGTTGATATTAAAGAATAAAGAAAGAAAAAGTTCTATCCTTAATGGAGTGATAGAAAGGGCTTTGATATTTCATTTCATATGTCTCAAAGAACATTTTATCAATGAAACAGTTTTCATCAAAATAGAATCTCTTCATATCTTTGTCGATATAGTTTTAATATAAATTATTTTATGATTTGACTTCATATTTCATATTTCATATTTCGATATGTTTAATTCAAGAAAAATAGGAGAAATATTAGTTTCAACAGCTAGTTTTTCTTCTTTCTTATGTAGAAAATGAGTTTAGTCATTGTTTCTCTTTAAGAGAGATAACTTTCAACATGAAATATTATAAAAAAAATAAAATTTCTTATAAAGAAATGTTTGATTGTTGATTTGTTCTTTGAATAGTTGAAGGCAATCTAGAATATGATATATATTATTATTTCTGTAATTGTAAACAAAGAATATTTTCTATGAAAGGCAAGATTTATTTATGGGATAAAGTAAATAAAATTTCTTGAGCTGATTTTGAATAAAAATATTTACTTGCTTAATCAAATTCATTTTTTTAAGAGGATCAATAGGGAAAATTGGTTTTTAATCAAATCTATTTTAGACCGTTCTTAAATGAAAACTTTACATAAGTTAATTAACAAAGTTTTGTTTACATTTTTAAACGCTGATGAGAAAAAGTTGTTCTGACTGATAAAAAATTCGTTAGTTGTACAAATATTTATTTTAATTTTTCTTGAAGATGTTCATTTAATGATTGGTTTCATTTTAGGAGAACTATTTATTCTTTTCACATGAAAATAAAAATTTTCTTGTTTTGCTCTTTATTTCATAGGAAAAACATTAAAATCTATAAAATGCTATTAAGATTACAAAGAAGGATTTGTTTTATTTATATTGAACAAACGCGAAATATTGTAATCTTTGATGAATCTTTGAAATTTCTTGAGATAAAAATTCTTCGAGCGACAATGTGTATGAAGAATGTCTGTAGAGAGAAAAGAAGAATTTCTGAGTTCGAAAAAAAGAATTTTGATTGATAAAAATTTCTTCTTTTCTGTTGATTATTTTTCTTTAAATAAATAATTTTTTTTATTCAACTATTTTCTTTTATACAATTTATTCAGATCTTCTATAAGATTTTTCAAGAAAAAGTAATAAGAAAATTTTTTATCTAAAATAATCAACATCGGTGTTTTAACGAAAAATATTTGAACAATATCGAAATTCGTAGTTCATATCAAAATTAATAAAAATCATTGTTAACAAACATTTCTAAATGTGTTTTTCATCAAAAAGTTCTTTGAAGAAACTTTATTTTTCTCCTGTGAATATATAAATTGATAGTTTCATTTCATTTACAGTTCTTCTCTAATATACTTTCGATTTTTCTTGTGTTTAGCTCTTTCATTCAATCAGCCAAAGTTTTGTCTAAATGCTACTTGGAATTTTAATGGATTTACCATTGCCAATCGATCGATTGTTGGTGAAAAACCTTGGGCCATTTTTGTGAACACAAACAATACAATTTATGTCGCTAATCGAGAAAACAGCACAATTCTAATATGGCAAGAAGAGAGTCTCAATCCAACAAAGATCATTCACGGTAATTTTACAGAGCCCTATTCTCTCTTCGTGACGTCAAATGGTGATATTTATATTAATGATGGTAAGTATGAGAGTGGTCAAGTACAGAAATGGAGTGCAGAAACAAACACCTTTGGGACGGTGATGAATGTCAACTCATCATGTTATGGTTTGTTTGTCGATATCAATGATACTCTTTATTGTTCAATGCATGATCATCATCAAGTAGTGAAAAGATCATTAAGCGATTCGGTGATTAATTCGAATCGTGTTGCTGCTGGAACAGGTAATAAAGGAAAGGACTCGAATCAACTCAATCAACCTCATGGAATCTTTGTCGATGTGAATTTGGATTTATATGTGGCAGATTGCCTAAATAATCGTGTTCAGTTGTTCCAGTCGGGAGAATCAAATGGCATCACAGTAGCTAATCAATACTTATCAATTAATCCAATAATTACACTTGATTGTCCAACTGGAATTATATTAGATGCTGAGAAGTATTTATTCATTGTGGATGCAGGCAAGAATCGTATCGTTGGTTCAGGCTTGAATGGTTTTCGATGTTTAGTTGGATGTGATGGAGTGGGTTCGCAAGTCAATCAATTGAATAAGCCATTTAGTTTGAGTTTTGATCGTTCTGGAAACATGTTTGTTATTGATTTCGGAAATCATCGAATTCAAAAATTCAAATATTTAAAAAGATATTGTGGTAAGTTGAAGTATAATCGAATGAGATGATGAAATGTGAATGTTGATAAAGAAAAGCTGTATAGTTGTTGTTAGAAGAAACCGAAGTCGAAATCAAACGAAAAAAACTGCACAAGAAACTTTTTTGATAAAAAAACAATAAAATTGTGCGAATAAAATAATTGATTAATTTCAGAATTTCAATATAAAACTAGTAAATTCATTTAAAATATGAAACTTCAATTGATTATAGATATTCTTCTTTTAAACGTTCTCACTCTCAAGATGAAAAGATATTTATTCAGATCAGAAAAATCATCAAAGGTTTTGATTGTTATCCAGCGAATAGCACACAGAACTTCTTAGATATTGCGTAGAAACTATCTGATCGACGTAAAAAATATTATGTTTTATTTGATTGATTGATTGCGAAAAAAATTCTTATTTAAATCTAATCATTTAGAAGTTTCTCTCTCTTCATTCGTCAGATTTTATTTCAAATTTTTAAATTTCTTGTAAAAATCAAACAATTTTATTAGATTCTCTTCGATACTGTTCAACTTACATAATATTTTTTCTTTTCAAAATGTCGAAAAACGAATAAAACTACAGAATAAACTCTGATCATTTCAAATGCTATATGATGGAGAAACAGTCTTTTATCCTTTTGAATACAGATTTCTATTCAAAAAGACTTGTATCTTTGTGTACTCATAATAAACTTAAATTGACTTTATTGTTCATTTAGTCAATAATTTCTTGGTTTCCCAAAACATCTATTCAGCGTCATTGACAAGCAACAATCAAATTTATTACCGAGGTTGTGACAAACAAAATTTTTATTATGAATCTATTCAAGTGAAGGTGATCGAAAGTGGTTCCTACAGTTTTCATGGTATTGGTACTATTGATCCATATGGATCTATTTACAACAACAAATTTAATCCACTTGATCCATCGAAGAATTTGATCGACCGGGAGTACGCTCGTCCCCCTGATATTCACTTTAAACTTGATATTCATCTTTATGTTGACATAATATATGTATTGGTTATTTCAACATTTGATTCGAAAGAAACTGGAGAATTTTCGATCAATGTATTGGGTGAAAATAAAGTTAATCTCGATCGTCTCAGTAAGTATATGGATATTTATGTTAGATTTTAAATAACTCATACAAAGTACACAGTATATCTTTTACATTCAATGCCATCTTTTATTTTATACTTAGAGAATGTACTGGACTCATATCATCTGATATTAAGGCATTTTCTAGCAAGATATCTATTCGTATATATTGCTACCACTATCTTAGTGGATGAATACTATTTATTATCTACAGATACTGAATAAAAAATGTTCTAAAAAGATTAGTCAATGAGATGTATGGAAATAATTAACAGTGAAATGTTGAAAATTCAAAGAGTATCTTGCTTTAGCTCAGTACTTTTAGATTGGTGTGATATATTGATTTTAGAATACGCACTTGGAGAATGTGAATTTGGTACATTTACTAATCTCTATTTGAAAAATTAAATCTACATAGGAATTCTCAAAGATTTCGCTTTTATCGCTGTGCGATAACAGTATCATGAACAAAGCATTGATGAACTATTTCTGTTATCTTATTAGTCGATAAATATTTTCTGAATGGAATATGGACGACAAAAATTTGCAATAGTATCGAAATTCTATGAATTATTTGAGTTTATTTTTTATTGAACAGGTACTCCAGTAAATATTCAGCTAAGATATCCATCAAAATTAACTGAGAATAGTCCAACATATTATCGAGATTGTGAAGTACCACAATGCCATTATGAAACTTTACAAATTTATGTTAATACAACGAGTTTGTATGTTATTTGGAGTGAAGGTAATATTAATGCATATGGATATATCTACAAAAATGATTTCAATCCTCTAAAACCATTTGAAAATTTACTTCTGTCACATGACGGTAAATGTAATGATGGACAATTCAAATTAATCATCAATCTCGAGAACGCCACTCGATACATATTAGTTGTGACAACACACGAGCCTAAGATAATTGGCAACTTTTCTGTTTTTATCTCCGGACCAAACAATATTAGTCTTAGTCCTTTCAGTAAGTATTTATATGATTTATTCGATAAAGAATATATAATGCTATAAAATACGTGAAAAGAAGATTCTTTATATTTTTTGATTAGTGAGCAATTCTTATTTCAGATTTTGAAGAAAGATCTATCGAATTATTGAATTAAATAGGTTTCAGAATCTTTGAGTCTATTGATCTGTTAGAAAAGACACTTGATTAGCATAAATTCTAGACAGATTTTTCATATTTTGACTGTTGCTACTTACAACCTTCCAAATCTTTATGGATTTGCAGTTTCGAAGACTCGAAATCTTGCAAAAGTTTTTACTTATATATGCAAAATGCACATATTTCGATATATTGTAAAACCTTTTCATTGAAGAAACGAGTAAATTGCCGAAACTGAATATGTTGATTGTCAAAACAACTGAATTTCTTCATTATTCTCTTTTCAAAATATATTCAATATTTTAGATCCAAAAGAAAGTAGTTGTGTGATTGGTGATCAATGTAACATTTATCTCAAAGGGATTGGTTTGACACTCGATGATATTTTACGCGATGAACTTCAACCAAACAAAGTGTTGAATAATCAATCATTTTCGATTAAATTAAGTGCGGGTTTATCAATAATTATGTTTGTCGCAGGATTAATCAATAGTATTCTTTCTTTTATTACATTTCAACATAAAGATTCTCAACAAGTTGGATGTGGAATGTATCTATTGGCGTCATCGATTACTTCTCTTTTGACACTGAGTATATTCATAGTTAAATTATGGTTTGTTGTTTTTACTCATATCAATGTATCCACGAGTCTCTCTATTCTTCGTGGAGGTTGCGCATCTATTGAACCAATTCTAAAACTTTTTCTCTACTTGGATGGTTGGCTTAATGCTTGTGTAGCAGCTGAACGAGCAGTGCTTATGTTTAAAGGAGTAAACTTTGATAAGAAAAAGAGCAAATTTATTGCTCGACGAACAATTCTTATTTTACCATTCTGTATTTGTGGTACTCTTATTCACGAGCTCGCATCTCGCAGATTGTTCGTTTATGAACCAAGACTAGATACGACATATACGAATAAGACTAATGAAGACACAAACAACCGATATGTATCATGTATTACTCATTATTCTCCTTCTATCCAAGGTTACAATACAGCTGTTCTATTTTTCCATCTTGTTGGTCCATTTTTTGTTAATCTTTTCTCTGCATTATTCATCATCTTTGGAGGTGCTCAACAACGATCAGTGGCACAGGCTAATAAGACTTTTAAACAACATGTTCAAGAACAATTCCGTGAACATAAACAATTGATCATTAGTCCAATAGTTTTACTCATCTTATCAATACCTCGCCTGATCATTTCACTACTTCCTGGTTGTGCGAAAACATCTAAAAACTTGTGGTTGTATCTTGGAGCGTATTTCATTTCGTTTACTCCTTCAATGCTAATTTTTCTTATCTTTGTCTTTCCTTCAGACTTGTATATGAAAGCATTTAAACAATCTTTGACTTGTATTCGAAGGCGTACTCCTCCGTAATCAATCCGTTTAGTTTCAATAACATTACTATTGTAATAAATACAAAAGACATTATTTATTTGTTTGCTTCTCGTGATGAATTAATCGATGTACTGTTGCATTTGAAAATTATGTTTGGAAAAAGACATTCAATACTTACTTATACCTCGTTGCAGATGATCATCAATTGAAATAACAACATGTTGAATGATAATGAATGGTGGAGACACAAAACGATTGTTATTCTGTTTTACTACAGAATGCAATAGTTGATGTGTCTGTTAGACTAACTGATAAAGATTTAAAGAAGCTATCTCAACTTTATGAAAACTATATTCTTTGCAACATTATTCACGTTTCTTCTTGTCTGTCTATTGTGTGCTTTTCATATTGCTTTATTTTCTGTATTAAAATCGACTGGAAGTGCTTAGATATGCAAAAAGAAAGATTGGGTATCTGTTTTATGAAAATTCAAATCAGTCTCTCGAACTGACACTGAAGAAATGTTTTCGTCTTTTAAAATGTTTTATCCGATGACATAATATATCTTGAGGGTGTCGATGAGGGCCAGAATGTTTTGTTTACTCTCTCATACAGCGCTATTATCTTCATAGCTTGTGCTTTTTCCGATTGACTTCATCTGACAAACGTTCCGAATCATTCATTTGAAATCGAGGATTTAAAGGCTGTATAACTTTTTTTTTCATAAAAGAGAATACAAAAAAAAGATTATAATGTTTTAATTAAGTTAAATCTGAATTTAAATGTCTAACTTTGCTTTAGTTAACTACACACTCGCCCATTGTTCTTATTTGTTGGATGAATATATCAGTGTTGATTACCAAGTAGATAAAAGAGTTCTAACGGATAAAATCCTATGATACACAATGTTTTTTTTGTTTTTAAAAGAGATTCTGTGAAACATTTTGGTACATCTAACAATTTATATCAGAATGTAGCATATAATTCGATCTGCCACTAAACCAAGTATTGTTTCTTTGTTTTTACACGTAAGAAATAGGGTGTGCGTGTGAATAAAGTAGAATACATATACCTAGAAGCGGCATCAAGACTTTTACTTTGGAGGAGCTTAGCTCCCTAAATCTTGAATTTATTTAAGAAACTCAGAGAGTTGAGTTCTCATCGCCCTCTTTGGCGCCACGACTGCATACATTCGTCAACATAGTTTCAGTATTATACGATAATTCACAAGTAATCATTTATGAGTATAATTAACTTTAGTAAAAATATTCAATTTTATTACAAATAAAAAAACAGAAATAAAATGATTTGATCGCAAACGAGGTATCGTGGTATTTTTTATGGTTCTTATTATGTATGAAAGAACGAGTTGTTGTGCAAGAATGTTTTTCTTTGTGTTTGTATAGTGAAGCAAATTCTAAACAACTGCCATATAAACAAAAAGAAACAATTACATGAGAATGTCGTCAATGGATAAGAAATCACGAGTAATTATCGACTTGAATAAAATATTAAATGACAATGATTTTACTGAAATAAAACAAATGGAAAATGAATTTAAATTGAATGGTTGGTGTTTTGTCTATTTACCAAAAGAACTCATTCCAGATCCAAAATTGCTCAAAGAAATGACACTTTTTTTTCGTTTGGATACTGGAAAGGATCGATGTTCATCGATGTCAGGAATATATGGTTATTCGAAAGTGAGTCATAAAGAAGGAATTAAACTATTGACGGGACGTTATTATAGTAAATTTGCACATAAAAGATTAATACCATATGCAATGGTTCATCCATTAAACTATCTTTGTCAAGTATTAGATGCAATAACAAAACGTTTAATTGAAATTCTTGATCAAAATTTAATATTTCAAGAGAAACCATCATTATCAAATCTTATTGAACGTGCTGATCTACCGTTGGCGGATGGGCATTTTGGTATGCTTGATATTGTATCTTATTTTAATACTAATCGAGGTATTCAACCACCACCATCAAATGGACAAACAATTGAAGAAGTCAATTGTGTTCCACATTATGATCCTGGATTACTTTCAATTAGTATATTATCAACACATGAAGGACTACAATTAAAAGATATGACAAATAATGAATGGATAGATGGACCATTAGAATCAAATATTGGTGTCATTTGGTTAGGAGAAGCAGCATCTCGAATAACAGGAAATCGATTAAAACCAGGTATTCATCGAGTTATTTATCCTCAAGAAATAAAACCTCGACTGACAATTTGGTATGAATTATGTACAATTGAACAATTAAAAGCTATTAGTGGCGAGAAGGAAGATGAACCAATGGATCCTGGAGAGGTCATATTTGAGAATCTTCCTGATTCACTTCCATTAACTATTTTACCTGGTGAGAAAAAACTGGCATTTTTAAAACGAGTTGAAATGTCGTATGGATTAGCAAGTAGCAAAGCTGGTCCACCGATTTATAAATTTGACAAACATACTATTACATATCCAATGACCAATAAAAAATTCTAATTCTTGTTTTATTTAATTTTGCATTAGAAGACTTTTTTTTCGAGAAATAGACAAATCTAGACTGTATCAGAGAGAATCGAATTAATCTTGAATATTAAATATAATCTTTCATATGTTCAGTTAACTAATACAGAAGATTTTATTTAGAGTATGTCGGTGTAGATAAATAAGAAACGCTCACACTCATCCTGAATATCAAACGACATTGTGAAAATTATCGATTGATTTACAGTTAATATAAATGAATAGAAAATAAAATAAAAGACGCATGATCAAATCTGCATAAATCAAAACATATGTATATGCCGCAATATTATGGCTGAAGGCTATGGCAGACACTTTCTATAAGAATGATTCATGTATAAATTTTGAGTCATCATTCTCTCCATATTTTTTTCTTTCCTCTGGAAGATTCCTTTTCAAATGGTAGTAAGCTAAATAATACGAGCAAATGTCGTCAGTTTCTATTAGCATAAAAACAAACATACTGCCATTTACATTGCATTAACTTTGGCAGTTACGCTCTTCTTTTCGTCCAGATATGAAATTATCGACAGACAAATATGAATATATGGATGAAGACGCCATCGATGCTAAATTAAAATGTATTATATGTGCTCAACCATTTCAAATTCCAGTGATCCTCGATTGTCAACATACGTTTTGTGAAGTTTGTATTGATACATGGATTAAACAAAATGCATCGTGTCCTATATGTCGTCGTCAAGTTGAAACGAATTATGTTTTAACAAAAATAACTGATTTGAATATCTGTAATCAACTTGATTGTCTTCCTGTTCGATGTCTCCAATGTCAAAAGAATGAAATCCAACGAAATCGTTTTAAAAAACATTTAAAACGATGTTCGAAAAGTCGAATAACAAATCTTTCAGATTCAATACAAAATCGTTTCAAGAACATAAAAAGAATAATACGAACAAAACATAGTTCTTTAGAAACACCGACTCCACAAAGAAGAGTGACGCCTACTGTCGAATCTATTCAACAACAATTTACTTATCGTCCCCCAATACAAATTAATGAACAACAAATTTATAATTCACGTCCAAGACCGACTACAGTTCGTCCATATGAACGAAATAGGAATGAAATTTTCAGACAACAAAGCAAAGCAATACGTGGTATATTAATTGTGCTTGGCGTCATTCTTTTTTTATATTTTATTAGAAATATTATTGGGTATCTTCTGTGTACTTTAGGAATACTCTTTCTTTTATTACTTTTATATCATTGTTTAACTTATGTACCATCCTGAATCAAATTTTGACTTATGAATGTTTTTTGTTCTAATTAAATACATTTTTTCAGAGTATCGGTGTGGTAGTAGACGAAGTAGACTATACACACATCTCTGTCTTCATCTTAAATAAATTCTTTTGTTTACAAATCATATGATAAATTAATCGACGATGATGTATACATATAGAAAAGAATAAACATGATTTCACGTGTCTCTCTCTTAATGTCTATATATATTCTTCTTTGTTTAATCTAAATTTTAATATTTAATCTAATTTCATATATAGATCTTGTTTAGAAAATTTAACTAATAAATTAATTTATGAAATATTTGATTATCTTAATATTTTTTTTGGATTCTTTTATTTAAATAATCGTTTTCGAAATTTATATTCAAATTCGAATGTATCAAAAAAAGATTTTGAATATTATTATAAAAATGTTTTTGAACCAAATAAAAATTTTTTATTTAAAAAATCCATTTACAATTGCTTTCATATTTTCTCCTCCACGTCTTATATCGACTTATAATCAAATTAAAAAAATAATATTCATACAAAATATCTTATTAATATTCTTAAATATTTAATTTGTTTACCTAAATTACATTCATTAATTCTTTCATCTATTGATTATATTGAAAATCCATCTATATTATTTATTCATATACGTCGTCTAACAAAATTAATTGATTCTAATCAATGTCAACAAAGTTCAATTGAAAATTTTACTATTAATAGTTATTTCCCATATGAATCATGTGAAAAATTTTTGATTTGTTTTCCAAAACTTCATTCTTTATCAATTAATCGTCTAGTTAGATTGAGTGATTATTCACTTGAAATAAATATTAATCCAATTGAACTTAAAAATTTGAAATCAATTTCTTTTGAATTATTAAAAGAATTATTCAAAAACTATTTTAAATATATTGAAATATTAATAATTTCAATATTTAATGATAGTTTAGCACATTTTTTCGATGTAGAACAATGGGAAGAATTTATTTGTTCTTCAATACCAAAATGACGTATTTTTGATTTTCAATATCATTACAGTGGAGCAATGGAAAATTTCATACGTACTTGTTATCGTGGTCGATTTGGTTCAAAATTCTGGACAAATAAACAATGTTTTTTTTCATAATCAACGTAATAAATCATTACGTTGAGGGTGGGAGTGGATGAGGCTGTATATGACTCTCTCTTTTCTTAAAAAACTCACATCTGCACCCGCACCTACACCCTAGTTGTAATTTGATGTTTATTTCCTACTTAGCTCGTAGTATGAGATTTCAGAGAGAAACTTATTGAAATTGTACCAAATTTTTTTATCAACGAACACAAAGTGTTGATGGACTTGTCACTGTGCGTGTGTGTGGAAAGGACACAAAAAGAAATAAACTGCCTTAGGTATAAACATGTAGGGTTTCTCTTATTCAGAATTTCTATTCAAATTCACTGAATACTTACAAAAAAAGGTACTTTTACAGACGGTTATTGTATCAATATCACGATTTCTTATCGTTTGTGACACATGATTCAAAGTGTATGCTTATATTATTTATTTAATACATGTACTATAATATTTGACTTCAAGTAATTGCACATAAATCGACTATATTCTCTGATAAATAAGCTGTGAAACCAACGATTGAATCATTCATAGGCTTTCTATTCAAAAAATATACTCACATTCATCAGATTTTCATATTCAACGAGAAAGAATCATCAATGATAGGCTCTACAATCAAACATATAGCAACTGTATTTCCAGTAAATGTTGAAGCTTTGAAATCAGAAACAAAGTTGCAACAACATCGTGTTATTATTAAAGATTTCAGTTTAAATACATCGACTCATGGTATTCCAGGTATTGCACGTAGTCAAAGTATCTCTAATCTTCTATTTTGGTCGATTTCTTTCATTACTTTTCTGGGTATCATGCTATATTTTATTATTCAATCAATTCTTGCATATTATTCATATCCAACACAGACTTCAGTGAGCACTATTAATGAATGGCCACAAGCTTTTCCAGCAGTTACTGTTTGTAATAATTCTCCATTTCGTTATGATACATTCATTGGACCTTATTTAAACTATACAAATTCACTCAATCTAACAAATACAACTGATACAACTACATTTACAGAACAACAAGCACTCTATGTTTATGATTATCTACAATATAAACTTAATCGAAATGAATCTGTAAATGAATTTTACTATCCACTTAGTTCAATGCTTATAAAATGTGTTTATAATGGTGTTAATTGTTCGGCTGCCGATTTTGTTCAATTTACATCATCCACCTATGGTTTATGTTATACATTCAATGCACAAGCATCTCATATTAATAATGATACAATACATTATAATAATGAAAATGGAGGTAGTGGAGAACTTCAATTAGATTTATATATACATAGTCATCAATATGTTCCATATCTAACTGATGGTAAGAGTATTCATTTGACTACATTATATAATACTAGAATTTTTCCTTTTGAATATTTATTTGTAGCTATGAGTATTGTAACTATGGTTCATGATAACACACAATTGCCTCTCATTGACAGACTTGGTATTCAAATGATGCCAGGACGAAAGCATAAACTAGGGTATAGCGTGAAAACAAATACTTTCTTGCCAGCACCTTATACGGCATGTACTGAAACTATTACCCTCGGAATGCAAGCTATGTTTGATCAGTTTTCAAATGCGAAATATGCTTATGCACAGCAGATATGCTTTAGCGTTGCTATGCAAAGCTATACGTAGGTATCATTAATACAGAATTCTTATTTATTTTAATATAAATATTTTCTATTTCAAGATATGATCAATGTGGTTGTGTTAGTCCTTATGAATGGTCATATCGTTATGTTATTCCACATGGTACTAAGAATATTATCTATGCCACTCTTTGTAATATATCTGATTCCTGTTATTCTACAGCAGCTGTTATATTTCAAGCTTCACTCTCTGTATCGAATGATTATGCTGCAAACTGTGGTTTAGAATGTACCACGAACCAATATGTACTTGAACTATCTTCGGCTCTAGCTCCAGCTTCATGGTATATGAATAGTATAAAACAATTTGTTGAATCATCTTCTATTCCATTACCTTCTAATTGGTCATCAACATGGTCAAATGAGATTCAAAATAATTATGTTAGTCTTGATATTGTATGTGCAACTAGAGGTGTAAGCCGGTAGGGTCATCGGCGGCGGCGCTAAGTTTTAAAAAAATTTTTAAAATGTTCGGCGGCGCGGCTGTGACATTCTAAAGTAGCCAGCTGGCGGCGGCTCGAACATTTGAAAATTTCGAATGCCATCGACGGCGCGGCGGCTGTAGCGAAAATGCTTCGGCGGCGTGGCGGCTTGAAGTTTAAAAAAGTATTATATTTTCAAACGAATATTTTTAGAAACTCTATTTAACATCTCAAATTAACGAAGTACATAACTAATATTAAGCTGAATACTAAATAAAAATATAGAAGTTCATCAAAAATGCACATGACTAAAAAAAGATATGCAAAAAGATAAATAAAATCTTAAATGTCGGCTGGCGGCGGCTCGAAAATTTTAAAATTTCGAATACCATCGGCGGCGCGGTGGCTGTAACTGAAGTGCCTCAGCGGCGCGGCGGCTTAATTTTTAAAAATTAATTCAGGTACGGCTGGCGGCGGCTTTAAATTTTTATAGTTCATCGGCGACGACGGCGGCTCAGCCACACGGCTTACACCTCTATGTGCAACAACTGTTGTTGAAAGTTATACACAACAAGCGACACTTGGCGGTGTTGATGTTATTTCTAATATTGGTGGTCAAACAGGTCTTTGGATTGGTATAAGTTTTCTTTCATTAATGGAATTTGCTGAAATGCTCTTTAGACTTATTCGACATCAAGTTTATCTCATTCGAGAAAAGATACATAGAACAAGAAGAAAGATTTCTGAGACAAAACTATAGTTATCGGATGATCTATTCTACAAAAATTAATTTAACAACCTAAAAACATTTTTTTTCAGTCTTTTATTATTTTTTTTATGAACTTAATAAACAGTCATCTTGAGGGTGTGGATGTGAGTGAGATAAAGAGGATACATCCACACCCACCCTCAAGATATTTATTATGCCGTATTAATATTTGATTGTTTATATGTATATTTTTATGATAGTGCAACAAGAAAATATTTCTTATAAAATTGGTGAAAACTATGCAAACATAATTTCGTCGAAAGAATTACAAGGTGTAACAAGTGAACAAATATTATTATAGTTTGTAGATAATGAGTATTGAATTATAATGTTTTTATGATAATAGAGTATGGATGTTGATATCTATACTCGTAACTCACCCGCACCTTTAACTTATCTCAAACTCTTTTTGTAAATGAAATATTTCAAAGATGATTTATTCTAAATCCGATGGATATTATCAAAACAATTGAATATTATGAGTAACTACACTGCAAAACTAACAAGACATTTAAAATGGTAATTAAAGTTATCGTATGAATTGTAATTTTTATTAATTATAATAAACTAATATATAAGGATAGTAAAACAAAGATATTTACTTTTATTTGGGATTAAATATTAAAGTATGTAATAATTCAGTAAAAGTATCGAAGGAAACAATTCGTGGACATCATAAGAGGACAGTTGTTCTAACTAAAATATTGTTTTGAGTTTGGACTACTTGCAAGAAAAAGAATACAATAATTGAAAGTTAATTTGTTTGAAATAATTAATATAATTCTGCAGTATTTAAAGCATTATTATCATCTCCACCAGTAACTAATACTTTTCCATTTAATAATACAGATGCTGTGTGAAGATAGAGTGCCTTAGTCATGTTACTAGTAGTTGTCCAAGTGCTTGTTAATGGGTCATACAGCTCAGCACTATTTAAATAATCATTGGCATGTCCACCAGTAACTAGTACTAGTCCATTTGATAATACAGATGCTGTGTGAGAATATCGTGCATTATTCATGTTACTGTTAACTATCCAAGTACCTATTGATGGATCATACAGCTCAGCATTATTTAAATAACCAGTACCACTTCCACCAGTAACTAATACGTTTCCATTTGATAATACAGATGCTGTATGATAATATCGTGCATTATTCATGTTACTAGTAGTTGTCCAAATACCTGTTGATGGATCATACAGTTCAACATTGTTTAAAACACTCGCATTGTATCCACCAGTTACTAGTACTTTTCCGTTTGATAATATAGATGCTGTGTGAGAATAACGTGCAGTAGTGATGCTACCAGTAAAGGTCCAAGTACCTGTTGATAGATCATACAGCTCAGTACTATTTACAACACTACCACTATTGTATCCACCAGTAACTAATACTTTTCCATTTGATAATACAGATGCTGTGTGAAAAGCTCGTGCATTATTCATGTTACTAGTAGTTGTCCAAGTACTTGTTAATGGATCATACAGTTCAGCACTATTTAAATAGCCATTGCCTACACCACCAGTAACTAGTACTTTTCCATTTGATAATATAGATGTTGTGTGATAAACTCGTGCATTGGTCATGCTACTAGTACTAGTCCAAGTATTTGTTGATGGATCATACAATTCAGTACTATTTAAAACACTGCTATCATTACTTCCACCGATAACTAACACTAATCCATTTGATAATACAGATGCTGTGTGACCATATCGTGCATTACTCATATTTCCAGTAGAGAACCATCCTAGAAATTACATTTTTATATGTTTAGACCATACAACATTCATTATTCTAAAGACGACAGTCTTTAATATGTCTGTTTTATATTGCCTTAAGCTTATATAGACCGAGAACAGTAGTCAAACGTATTGCACAAAATCTCTTCTCATATCATTATGACATCTTCAGTTTTCTATATTCTCTACTTCATCTTTTATCTCAATCAAATATATAAAAGAGGTTTTTCGATTCACGACAGACTTTTCAACCTATAACTGAAACATGTTTAATAGAATGAAAAATATGAATTTTGCATCAACTCTTTCATAGTTCCCTGGATATCACAATCAAAACAATGGTAATCACCATTATTGCTTAAATCGTATCTAACACAACTATAAATTAATATTACTAGGACAATGACAGTAATAGAAAAAGTAGAAATAACTACCAATATGAATTAATCAAGTAAAACATCACTTTTACTTAAGATGATCTATCATAACGATGCATTATTATAAAACTTTATTCGCTTATTCTACAAACAAAATGATATATGAGATTGTATTAATATATGATTCAAATACTAAACTGAAAACTTCAACATGTTTTAGTTCTGCATCTCTCTTTCGTTTCTCTTGTTAATTAACAATGGATATCACATATCTATATTAACTCAGATAAATTATTCAAGTTGAGTGTGATGTAATCTAAAATGTAAGTAGTATATATTAGTACCTCTTTCACACATTTGTGTTATTAACAATGGTAGACATACTGCTTGTGATGAACAACATGAATTAATAACACATATTGAATTATTTGATGAACATGTTTGTGTAATATTATCACATCTTTCTAATATTGAACATAAAATACCAGGTGAACAATAACGAATATTATTTATTGTTCGATAATCAAAACAAGGTGTTGATGATGAAAGACAACTATTATTATTATTTAAGTTTACATTACATTGTTGTAAAGAACAATTTGATGTTGGATTCCATGCTGAATGAAATGATGAAGATAATGTAAACTGAATGGAAACATTATTTTCACTACAAGAATAATTGGGTAGTTGTGTTGTTTGTCCTACAGAATTTATTTTTCTTATGATAGAATTAAATGAAAAAAGATAAGCTAGCAAACCTTTTACAAATGAAAGAGATTTGATGAATAACAAGGTTATGATAAATCGCATTATTTTTTGTGTGATCAACGAAAAAAAAAGTATGTGCAGCAATAAATTATTTTTCTTTACTCTTTTTTTTTAATACTTTCTGTATTTCTCTTTTAATTGAAAGAGCATAAATCTGGTTCTCTGCATATAATTTTCACAGCAGAAGTGAAATTTTCGATCGATGAAAGAAATGCTTATTTCAGGAAGAAAAATGTCGTTCGGGACAAAAATGCTTTTTCTTTCTTTTCTGTTTATATATAATTATCGACGATATATATGCATATACGATCACAACAGAAAGTAAAAGGCATGATGCACTTTTTTATTTAATCGCTGACGTGCGTATTCGTAATTTACCTCTGACAGTCAGTATATATAATTGGAGAAACTATTTTATACAACTGAGAAATTATCATTTTTCTGCTTAAAATAAGCATTTATGTCACCCATAGAAGTTTTGTCTAACCATCCGAAGTTGAAAGAAAACATCGCTTGAACAGATTTATGTTTGCTTATAATCATTTTTCTATAAGATCTATTGATTACATACAATTCTCCGAAAGCAAATAAAAAAAGTCAATTATTATTTTAGCGTATTTTTTATAGGATTGTTATTTTTTGAGAAGTATTATTCTTGCATAGAGTAAAAAATATATTTAATAAAATTATCAAATATGAAATATTTCTTGTTTGATATGATTATTATCGTTAGTTTTCATTTCTTGAGAGTGGGTGTGAGTCTCACTACTGTATTGATCACCCACCTACACCCAATCACATCCTCACCCATGTGCTCAGACTACTCTTTTCGTTAAAAGATAGGATCAGTTTAGTTTCCATTGATTCAAGCAAAAAAAAATAGTACAAGAAGCTGAAAATATAAACATTAATGAGTTTGAAAGAACAACTGATAATGGAAAAGTTTTATGAAAAGTTTTTGGTATCGAATGAACATTGTTATTCGCTCCATATTGTCAGGATGGTTAATCTTAGGATAATGTTGTTGGTAGAGTAAGTAAATGGCAATAAGGATGTTGAGTATCATGAAGAGATAAATTTTAACAGTGTAGGAGAACACTGACGGTTTGTCCATCAGAGTTGGCGACGACAAGATCAGGTTTATTGTCACTATTTACATCGACCACTGCTACTGAATGTGGACCTATACCGACTGCGTAAGTAATTTGAGGAGAGAAAGTACCGTTGCCTACGTTGGGAAGAATACTGATGGTGTTTGAAGCCCAATTTGCAGTGACAAGATCTGGTCTATTGTCGTTGTTCACATCAGTTACTGCTACTGAATGTGGACTTGTACCAACCGCGTAAGTAGTTTGAGGAGAAAAACGACCGTTGCCTGTGTTGAGAAGAACACTGTTGCTGTTTGAACCGAAATTCGCAGTGACGATATCGGATTTATTGTCGCTGTTTATATCGGCTACTGCTACTGACATTGGGCTTACACCAACTGTGTAGGTAGTTTGAGGAGAAAAAGTGCCGCTACCTGCGTTGAGCAGAACACTAATGGTGTTTGAACCCCAATTTGTAATGACAATATCGGGCTTGTTGTCACTGTTCACATCGGCTACAGCTGCTCCATATGGTTGTAAACCAACTGCGTAAGTAGTTGGCTTAGAAAAAATGCCGTTGCCTGCATTTAGAAGAACACTAATGGTGTTTGTACTCCAACTTGTAGTGATAATATCGGGTCTATTGTCGCTATTCACATCGGCTACAGTTCCTCCATATGGATATGAACCAACTGCATAAGTTGATTGAGGAGAAAAAGTGCCGATGCCTGTGTTGAGAAGAACACTGACAGTGTTTGACATGAAATTTGCAGTGATAAGATCGGGTCTATTGTCGCTGTTTACATCGGCTACCGCTACTTTATAGGGTTCTGCACCAACTGAGTAAGTAACTTGAGAAGAAAAAGTACCGTTGCCTGTGTTAAGAAGAACACTGATGGTATTTGATTTTTGATTTGCAGTGAAAATATCAGGTTTATTATCGTTGTTCACATCGGCTACTGCTACTGAAACTGGGCGTAAATCAACTGAGTAAATAGTTTGATTAAGGAACATACTATTCCAAGCTGGTAAACAAGAAAAAAAAAGATTTATATTACAGTTTTTATAATTAAAAAACAGCATTTGGTCGTGTTATTCTATTTAATATGCAAGAGTTCATCTCAACTAAAAGCAAACCAATCAATCAATCAATAGAATCATTCCACTATGTTTATGGCTAGTTATGATCATCTACAATCTCGATACTTATATCGCTTTTCCGATTCTATTTCGACATTAGCACAGTTATTAATCTTGAATTCAGCTAATACATTTGTCTCTTCTGCATTCGTTTTTTCATGTGGTATTATTCTGTCTAATGTCTTTTCAATACAAAATTGATTTTGCAATATTCTAAACATATTCTGACGAATACATATTGAGATCAACTAACAGTTTGCAACAATCACTAAACTATGTCTTCACTAAAATGAACAGACATAGAATACCTTGGAGTATAAAAACGAGAATGACTGAATTTTCTGAAGTTTATATAAGACGTTTAAACTGAACGAGTGGGATCCAGAAGAAATAAAATTTGTCTTCTTTTACTTTTCTACAGAACATATTAGTCCCTTTAATATCTTTAGTCATTTAAACACCTATAGAAAAGTAAAATCTAGCATACAAAGGTCGTGGTATCTACATATAAAGTTAAAAATGAATAAATTATTTATTTTGTGCATCTACCATCAATTATTACAGCTTCGAACTGAGTTTTCCCTTAAAAAATTCTTGATTTCATTCTACCCACATCTATCTCATAAATATAAAAGTAAATGAAACTATTTTAGTAATACTACAAAGATATAATATAAATAACTCTGAAAGTTACTTATCATCATCAGAAATATTCAGTAAATAAGAAACAGGAACTTTCAAGAGTATATTTTCTCAAACTGAAGAACAATTGATCGATTGGCAACTAAAAAAGCTACTATGATTCGTGTAAGATATTACTGACCGATTGTTGTTGTTGTTGTTGTTGTTGATGTTGTTGATGACGATGTTGTTGTCGATGTTGTTGTTGATGTTGTAGTTGTTGATGGCGTTGTTGTCAGCGATGATGATGATGATGATACTGTTGTTGTTAACATTTCTGTTTTTATTATCGTTGTTGTTTGTGCTATATGTTTTTTTGTTGTTGCTGTAGCTGTAGTTTCACTCTTCTTTCCGTTTGGCATAGTTACATTATAAAAGTATGCCTGCTTTATTTGCTCTTCTGTTATTTTAGCTTCCGACAAATCACTGTTTGAAAAGCGTGCACCTGTCAGATTTGCACCATTAAAACTAACACAAACTAAAGATGAACCATCAAATTTCACGTTATCCAATCGTGCTCCCTCAAATGATGCACCATTTAAATTAACAGATGAAAATTCCCCATTTGATATTGATATCTGATCAAAAGAAATGCATTGTAAATTCAACTTATTTAATACACCAGTTTCACTTGTTAGACGTACATTATCAAAACTTAATTCATTCAAACGAATTATATCATCTAATTTTGTTGTTCTACAGCCATTACTACAATTATTTCTACCAATTAATTGTTTTTCTTTAAGAAATTGTATAACATCTGCATTACGTATTGTATCCCATTGACGATGAGCAGCACGATAATATGCGTTGGCAAATGCCCATGGATTTTTTATGTCATTAAGATAACCATCTTTATCTAATTTATAAATATTATTTAAAAATTCATCATAAAGTGTTTGTTGTCTTAATTCTGTTGATTGTTCAAAATCAAACTTTTGTTTCTTCTCAGCTTGTTGTTTTTGTTGTTCAGATCCAATCGAAGTATAAATAGCAAGAGCTATGGGTATAGCAACTGACGATATAATACTTAATATATCTTTGAGTGTAAAATGGCAAAACGCTCGTTTGTTAATATCCATCATTGTCTCAATCCGATTTCAGAATGAACAGTAAAATATTGTGATGTGTTTAAATATAAAGAAAACACAATGCTTGCTCTTAACTAGTCTTTCTCTCTTATTTAACAACATATTAAATAACAGTTTTAATTATATTTCATATATCAGTGTTCTGATTTTTCCAGTGAGAGATATCTTATCTAAATAATTTCGTTAAAGTCATGGCAAGTACTGTAATGTATGATATTTTCAAAATCATATTTTACAAAGAAAAATAAAAGAAATGAGCAAGTAACTATTCATTACAAACACAACAATAATTAGAAAAACAGTTTCTTATTACTTTCTCTATATTGAACATTGAATTTGATCTACAATAACAAGAATATATAAATACTGATAAATGAAGATCGATGGGGGCGATGAAAGAAGAAAATTTATACTGTTGATTTAAATATCGGAGATTTCTTTGTATGTCTAAATACAATACAAAATCATAGAACTCAATTAATGCTCCGAAATAATGAAAAATATATTTTGACAGTAAACTGTGAAATGATCTGATCATATTTATTTTGAAGTTCTCCAAGAAAGAAGAAAATTGATACTCTAGACTTGATGAATCATTCTTTTCTTTCAGATTTTTTATACAAAAAACCTTTGATATGCATATGTTATAGTCTAAAAGTGTAGTAGAAATAGTTTTGTAACTGACTCAAACTATTTAAATTTATTATTTATCAAACTTAAAAATATAATTACAAAAGCAAAAGATATTTGTCATGTGTGATAATAAAATGAAAAGAAGACTAAATTGTCGATTGGATCTATCTGTTATATCTATGTATTCATATGAAATAAAAAATACGTCGACAATATTCTTGAATTAATCAACTAGACAGAAACTATTTTATAAACTTCTTTCAATTTACTATTTCCCTCTATCTCTTTTGCTTAAAAGTTGCTCTCTCTTTGTCTTTCAACAACATATCAATTTCAAGAAAAGAAATGGAAATATGATCTACTTACATAATTATATCTCTTGGATATTGATCATTCCCATAATTCAATTACTACGACATTTTAAAACAAAAACAATCATCTTATTGATATTATGTTGGATCTTGATCTTAAGTAAATAATAGAAAAGATTTTGTCTATTCTAGCTTTAAAGTTGTTTTTTCTTCTGTCAAATATGTTGTAATGAAAATTAACACACCAATAGACGCAATCTTTTAGCAACGACGAGTAAGACAAAAGGATTGTGAAGCATTATTCAGAAAGATTGATAAAGAGAGTTTTTTTTTCTACACGAAACATAACATAAAAAATATATGTAAATCTTTTTATCGCTTTATTTATGAATTTTCGATTCAAATAAACATTATCACCTTTAAGGATGTCCTTAAAATAATAAATACAAAGTCTGTTTTCTATGTAGTCGTTATTGTTTGAACTATTGGCGACGGAGTATTATTTTGATGGGGACGTTTTGTATGATAAGCAAGAAAGAAATTGATCCAAGCAACACAACCAGCTGTTACATATGTCGGTATACACCAACAATAAAATCGACAGAATAACAATAATATTTTCATGATTAATAGCACACCACAATAAAAAGCAATTTTCAGTTTTGTCGAATAGATTTCAGGGGAAAATTCATATAATTCCAATGGTAAATGACGATTACTACAGCCCAAGAAAAATGTAATGAGTACAAATAAGGAAATAATCAATGAATCAGATACAAATCGAAATAATAACAAAATTCCATAGATTAAAACATAGCTAAACAACATAATAAAACAACAACCTCGATTAATATGAACACCTGCTCGTACAACCAACTTCCAATAAATAAAGAAAATTCCAGTTGTTAATTGAACAAGTCCAACACCTGATAATATTAAAATAAAAGCCGGAGCTTTGGAAATATTGGCTAAAAGAAACCTTAACACCATAAAAATATGATAAAAAAATCCACATTGTTGTTCTCGTGCTTGTCTAACTACGTCAACTCCAATCAAATTTGTTGGTATTGGCGAATATTGTCGTTGTTCTTCCAAAAAGTTTAGTATATTCAATCCATTATGAAATGCTTGCAGCCATATAGGACGTGCTACTTGTTCATCATTTGTTATTGTTTGTATATTGTTAGTTTCAAGAGTTTCTCCAAAAATTTCACCTATTCTATTCTCAAAGCATTCCCAAAAATGATCTTTGAATAATGGTTTTTCAATATAAGTTTGACAAGAAGTACATTTAACTGGATGTGGAGTGCATAATCCCGGTGTTTCATAGTGTTCATCTCGTTTCGATATAAGTATTAATTGATCACACTCTGAACATTGCTCACTAAGATATTTACAGCTGATAGTTTCGTGTGATTCTAATGAATTATAAGATCGCACGTGTTTACAACCAAATTTTGAATTTCGACAATAAATTTTTAAACGATCTAATGTTGAATAAATTTGTGATGAACAAGGTTCTTCTTCAAATGGTTGACGACACAATGGACATCGTTCACCACTATTGTTGGGATTTTCAAGCCATGTATGAATACAGTTTTGACAAAAATGATGATGACATTTACTACATGCACATGGTTTCCATAAAAGGCAACAACATATTGTACAAAAATAATCTTCATCGACAAGATGTTCATTAACAATACGATCTCGACCAATATTACCTTCTTCCATCAACAAACGCTCTTCTTCTTGATTTTGTATGTTTTCGAAAGAAAAGAAATGCTATCTGTACTCACCTTTTTATAGTTATCTGTATACAAGATAAATATGAATCATTCTTGAAAAAAACAACTTGAAATTTCTCTCAGTTAGAAGTTTCCAACAGAAATGTATTTATAATGAGGTAATAAATCTTGGAAAGTACCTAAAAAAACCACTATGGATAAAGATTTTTCTCTAGTTTTAAAAGGGTAAGATAACCATCGACAGAAAATATGAAAGAAGCTACTTTATTTTTGATTCTGCCTATTGAACACTAAAGAATCAGTTCTAAGAGTAGGTTGTTAAATTGTTTGTCAACAGCAATTGACATATTTTCAGTCAATCTTAAGAAATTCTTTTATCCGATAATCTATTTCGAAATAAATGACTCATGATTTTATTTTTCTTCCCCGTAATAATATTATGAGTCATTGTTATTTCGTCAGTCTTTCAACACACAGAAAGCAATAAAATACCCATAAATCAACTATAAATTCATAGTTTCGCAAGACATTTTCTATTAAAAGTAAATTTGATAGGTATGGCAATGCATCGACAAAAAAAGAAATTTGTACCACCAACAAAAAAAGAAAGAGCTACCGCTCTTGGTGAAATAGATGATGTAAGTCTTATTAAATTAAACAAAAACAAAAGAGAAACTTTATTTTGTTTTTTTTCTAGTTAGATGAAGACATTCGACGTGCTCTGACAATCGCCATTGATGAATGTTTTCCATCAATTCCAATACCAGATGAAGACGCGTGGTTGAGTGAACATTATGAAGCCGGACAAACAGTAAAACAATTTGAAAGATTACGAAAAAGTCAACCATCTCCTACGTTAGTATACTCATTTATTTATAAGACATTAACACAAAATATTTTAATTTAATATAGATGTAACATTATTTATATTCAACCATTTGAAGATTTTAATGGTCCAAGGTAAATATCCTTGTTCTAGTGAATTAATCATATTCAATGGTTATTTTTCTAGATCACCTAATTTGAATATCATATGTGATTTTTCTCATATATTTTTTCCTGGATGTCAAACTGAAATCCTACCATCAGTTGAATTTGATTCTAAAACAAAACAACGTATTAATCAATATACAAAACAACCACAATATTTCGTACCGAATATAATGAATCAATTGAAAAAAATGCAACGAAAACGACATAAACGTGAAGAATTATTTTCTATCGGTGTAACTATGGTTGATATTTATCCAAATCCAAACTGGAATTTTGTTTATGGTGAAGCATCAATCGATGAAGGAATTGCAATTTATTCATTTGCACGATTCGATCCATTATTTCCTCATACATCACTAGAATCATATACAAATGAAGAACAAGTACTGGTTCTTCGACGAGCTGTTAGTACTTATATACATGAAGTAATGCATTTGTTTGGATTCGAACATTGCATCTATTATCTATGTTTAATGAATGGAACTAATTGTGAAAATGAAATGGATGGACAATTATTATATCTTTGTCCAATATGTTTAAAAAAACTTTATATTTTATTTCGAAAACAAAATTTTAATATTTTACATATGTATGAAAATCTATTGGAACTATCGAGAAAAATTGGATTTCAACAAGAAACTATTTGGTATGAGAATAGATTGCGACTGTTAAATCAAGATTTATAAAATAAATTATGTTTTGATTGAAAATTTCATCATAGTCATAAGCGTGTGGGTATATCAGAACTAATACTCACATCCTCTTTGTAACTTTATAATCTAGTGGTATCACTATGTAGAAAAGAAGGAATCAAAATAGATTCAATAATGATTTATCAGTTCATTGTTCATCAAAATATTTCATAAAGAAGAGAATTGAATTTATTTGTATAGATCTTTTCGGTTTCAGATAAAAAATATGAGTGATACCGGTCCGGTTCGGTTTCGGGTGCAAAAAAAGTGCACCCGTGCAAGACTCTATTCATGTGTAGTTCTCAGATAAGTTTTTCAATGAGTAAATGTTCATGTTTGACGTTTAGTAATATTTGCTAATAGACCATATTTTGCTCTTAGTGATATTTTAACATCTGGAACAATTTTTTGTCCAGGTACTAATTTAAAATCACATTGTTGTACAAACATAGCTAACAAGATTTTTACTTCTAATAATGCAAAATTTTGTCCAATACAATTATGTGAACCAGCAGCAAACGGAAGATAAGCAAATGGATGAACTAATTTTGGTTTGAGATCTGTTTTAGGATCACGTAACCAACGAGTATAATCGAATTCAAGTGGTCGCGGCCATAAATCACTACGACGATGAAGAATGTAACTATTTGTAATAATACAAGTACCAACAGGTATATGTAACTGATTGTCTGTACCAGTAGTATGTTCATGTATACAACGGCGTACAATTAATGGTACAGTTGGATAAAGACGTAATATTTCATTAATTATTGCTTCACATATAACTAATTTCGATAGATGTTCATTAGTTAATTCAGTACTATTTGAAATAACTTGATTAATTTCTTCTCGACATGCTTTTAAAACATGATCATGTGTCATTAAAATATAAAATATCCATATCATTAAATTTCCTGTTGTTTCACTTCCAGCAGTCACAAATGTGAGAGCATGTGCTTTTATTTCTTGATCAGTAAATGATTCTCCTTCATTATCAACAGCTGAAAGAAGTAAATCAAGTAGATCAGGACCATCCGACATACTATTCGAATGTCCTTGTCGTCGATCAGAAATAATTTTATCAACAAATTTTGCTATAGTTTCAGCTCCATTATCAAGAATATTCTTTTTCCAAAAAGGTAATTTCGAAAGAAAAGGTATTTGATTAATCATACGTAATGAACGGTATAAGATAGCATCAAGTACTTCAGTAAATACTTGACACATAATTTCTTTTGCACTAATATTTGTTTCGAGATCTTCACCAAATGCACTCGATACAATAATAGATAATGTTAATGTATTAAAAAAAATTTGTTAATCAATTTTATCAATAGATTTTCTTGTACGATCAACAATAATTGAAATCATAGATTTTAAATCTGTATGATAAAATGCTAGATTAATCATTCGACGTGCTCGTTCATGTTCAGAACCTTCAATTACGAATAAATTATGATAACCAAGAATTGGTGCAAAAACTGTAGAAAGTATTGTTGGTTTTATATAATATTTTGAATTCTGTCGACTAAATACATCAGCAAGCATATCAGGTTCATTAATTGCTAAACGTACACCTGGACCAAAACTATATAGAAAAACATTGCCATGTTTTTGAACAAGTTCTTCAAAATAATTCATCATTTTATCAGCTTCTCTATAACGATGTATTTCGGAAATTTGACCAAATAAAGATACAAATGGTTCACCATTTATTCCTTGTCTACAAAGTTTATCATAGATAATTTTTTCAGGACGAATTAATTTAATATAGATAATAAAACATAGAATACTAAGAATTATTATGAATATATAAAGTAATATTAAAAACATTTTAATAATCGAAACAAATTAATTCAAATGAAACATCGATAAAAGCAAAATCCGTCATGTGAAAACGTGTTTCTTGTACAGAACAGGAAAAGAAAAACATATTATTTACATGAGTATGTATGTAAAATTATTCGCACGGGACCTTATACTATTTCAACCATTAACGTGATTGACACGGTAAGATAAATTTTGATTATATATTATTTAATATCATAACTAATAAGGTCCTTTTATTACTTTTTTCTTCATTATATATTTTGTTTTAAATTACTAGCTTATTCATAATACCAGAGTGGTCCAAAAGTCAGTTAATTGAATAAAAAAATCAAAGATCTGTCAAAGATGGGTCAAATGAACTGATTTTTTTTACCAGTAATAAAGACAATCGTTTCGAAATATCACTAATGACTTCAATAAAAACATGTATCCTGTTACAGTTATGAAAAAAGACCATGATGAACAAAATTTTTCATACACTTTCTTGTAGTCGAGAGAATAAACTAATTTGTTAAAAATTAATATCAATGAATATTATCACTCTAGAGATATAGACGTATACATCTATATGTCTATCACAAATTCATATACCTCTTTACTTCTAAATTTCTTTATATCTAAATGACTATATAAAATGATTTCTGAACTGCTTAGATGTTTTTTTTCAGATATCCATGTAATGTAACGTTTAAATTTATCATAAAATCAAATTCCTCGATGAATTTTAATATATATTTTTATTTATACCCTACGATCTGTTAATATTTTTTTTCCTATTATCATTTCTAGGAATATTTTATATTAGTTTTTCAAAAAGCTCTTTGTTTCGCTTCACAAAATATTCATTAATTACATATTTACTTCCTGTTATTCTTTAATAATTACTTATGGAAAAAAGTAATTTCTATATCATGTCTTATTTGAAGTGTTAACAAAACTCATTTCTACTGAATAATTGTGTTTCTCTTTTTCTTTTTCTCTGACGTCTTTTGAAATGTTTGCATAATATTTGTTGTTTTTACTCCGTAGGACTGAACTTGTTAATAACAATTCTCTGATAGAATAATAGACTTTAGTTTTCTCTATTTTGATCATTATATTCTATATATTTATATCGTGAATCTGATTTCAAAATTTGATTATTTCAAATCACATAAATATTTAACAAGAGATATAGAAAATATACGCCTATAGAGAAATTAATTGCTTATCTAATCTTGATAATGAATATTAAAGAACTAATTCGTTGGTTTCGTGAATATATTTATTACTACAATCTTTTCATACCCGAAGAAAATGATGATGATGATGATGATGATGGTGAAAACAATACAAGAAAAGATCCAAGAACAATTCTTAAACATCAATTATATGCTACTCGATTGTATATTCCTCTTCTCATCAGTAAGTATGACATTAAAATAATATAATACTAGAGGAAGTACCCGCTGCAAATTCTCTCTAACACAGTTCTCGCTGCAAAATCCTGCTCTTACAGTTCACGCTGAAAACTCTCTCTCATACATTTGTCGCTGTATAATTCCTCTGATACGGTTCCCGCTGCAAAATATTTATATTTCAAGCATCTTCCGTATCCGACCTCCTCGCTACTTTTCCTTGTATATACAGAAGTGTGATTGATGGTTTGGTGACGTTAGCTATCATAGAACCACCTGGGTAAAGTTTCAATCATGCCCCCCCTCCTCGGTGACTATGCCAGTCCCCGTCGACCGTCCTTGGGACCTAAGGATGCATCATGGAAAGTTGGTGATCATAGCTATTACAGAGACCGAATGCATAGCGAACAGAAGATGTGCGCTCAGATGGCCTTCAGCCGCCTTCGCTAGCTGTTTTTGTTAATTTTTTGAAATCCTCCAATCCTATTGGTCGGTTCTATAGATTGCCTGTAGCAAGTACCGGGTTGTCGTAGATAGATAGAACATGTGAAATGTTTTATTGGAGCGCTCAGACGGCCTTCAGCCGCCTTCACTAGTAATGTTTTTTTAACCTTTTTGAAATGCTGCAATCTTATTGGTCCGTTTCATAGACTGTCTGTAGCAAGCGTAGGATTTATTTTTTCTGGAACAAAGTAGACGTTGACCTTCCCTTGGTTGTAGACAACATTCCTGGTAAGTTTCATTGCATTTGCTCGTACGGTGTCCAAATGCATAAAGAACAAACAGACAAACTTTCTTCTTTATATATATAGATAGATAGATAGAAGATATCTTTTTTTTACTTTTGTTTCTCATTTATAGTGACCGTATATATTGTAACGTTCATTGTTGTGATCATTCCACCAACTCAACAAATATCCATATCAAACATAACTCCATTACTTTTCAATCAACTATATCGTGATCATGCTGAAACACTTTCTTGTTCATGTTCATCAATTAATATACCATACAAAAGTTTCGTCACAAATACAATATCATTTCATCCAGTATGTTCAAGTGTTTTTATCAGTAAAGAATGGATTGAAGCACTTTATTCACCATATGTCAGTGCATTCTTAGTAATGGATTTTCGAAAAACTGCTGCTTCTCAAGTAAGTGTAACATTCGATCATCTGCAGACTTGCAGGTGGATATTGATTCTTTACTAACATTCACACCCTCAAGACACTTTTATTATTTTAGTTCGAGTTTCTTGCTGCATTTTGTTTGATTTGTCAAGAGAAAGTGTCTCAACTTCTAGCTGATCTTGACAATACACAACTCGTTAGTTTTCAACTTTTGCAAGAAGAAGAAGTTCATTCTCGCATCACGAACGATATCGAAGTCATCAAGGTAAACGCACCTGTTGAAGATACTACAACATTGCGTCTTCTTCAAATAACAACTCAACAAAATTCAATAATCTCTGCCCTTCAAACCAGTATATTTGTTGAAGTAAATACAGAGGTAGAAAAATCCATATCGTTCTATACTGACTCTACTTATTACTGGAGCGACAATGCGACTGATTACGGTCAAATATATATGTTGACTTGTGATACAAAAAACGCTATCACTCCAGCTGGATTCTATTTGTATACACCATTTGACAGTGCTATTAAGCATCAGTATTGGCCTATTCATCGTCCAGACTTTGAACCAATTCCTTCTGCAATAGTTGATGGATTCTTTGGCGGATGTAATGTAATCGATGCTGTACTCGCAAGCACATTGGATTGCTTATACAATGTTACTTGTCTCGATACCTTTGTTGATTACTTTCCCAATCTCAATCAGATCAATCTCACGTGGTCCAATGGCCTTTCATCTTTAAAACGAAGAGATGTTCCTGTAGAAAAACTTTTGAGTGAACTGTTTGTAGAACAATGGTCAACATCAATCAATTATTTACAATATTTTGCTGAATGCGCTCCAACTGCGTGTACATACACGGAGATCAATCATATCAATATATCTTATACAATAACTCTTCTACTTGGTTTCTATGGTGGTCTTACTATTCTGCTTCGTTTATTGGCACCTTTACTAATCAATATATTCTCAAAATTAAAATCATGTTCACCAAATGTTATTTGTAGTCTAAGTAATGCCTTACAATTGTAGACAAGTTCTATTCTATATATGATTATTTTCTATCTCTAGCACATCTTATGACAAACATTGGCAGGTTTATCAAATATATACAATACTTAAATATGTTCAAATCAATTAATAATCGAACAGCAGCTGACCTTAAAATTCAACGGATCACCACACGCTTATATTTGATTTTGCTTGGAAGTAAGAGCATTTTTATCTTTTCAGAACTTCTATTATTGTATATAATCACTTTCTGATAGTATGAGCAGACATTAAATACTTCGTACAATACCTCCTGCTTTTTTTAAAAACTGGTGTTGTTTTTATCTATGCTTGTCGAGCTGTTCCTAAATTTCAATCAATACTAGTTTTTTATCTCTAATCAGTTATATACAGAGTATCACACAACTTATATGTACCCTTTTATATATATAGATTATCAATGATTTCTCAAATGTATAAGTACAGTCTATTGAAGTTTATAAATAAACGCATACTTAGCACTTGTATTTAAATAGATTTGTATCTAGTATCAGTACTAAATATGGATTAACTTAAGTATATATGTACTTGCATAAAAAGTGTTTAAGTAAAGCAGAGCTGGGCGAGTACGGACTTTCTCGAGTACGAGTACAACAAAGCCGTACTAGAGTACGAACACGAGTACGATTGTATCGACGGTGACTAAGAGTTTTTGCCATAGTTGGTAGGGGGAAAAATCTATACTTAAACAGTCGAAACAAAAAGACGTCAAGAATTCATGTCATCCATGCAGCACATAATCACATAGTAATTTTTTATGAGACATAATTAAGAACTCCAGGATCATATCTTCGAGTACGAAAAATAATCCATTCGAGTACGTGTACGAGTACCAACCCCTTGAGTACGAGTACTTCGAGTACTTTGCCCAGCTCTGAAGTAAAGTACAAAATAAATTCATTAAATAAAAATATTTGTACTCGTACATATCATAGTTTTACTTATATAATGTTTGCTCTCACGCTGTCGTTTTCATACTTTCGTCTATTCTTTTTGTATTATTAAGCTTTCACATGCATTTTACTACTATACACATCATTGAATACTGAAACGATTACAATAAACGTACCAAATCCTTCATTAGCAACATACGAAAATCTACAAAATCTGCATTCTAATTTGCTTCAATGTCCTTGCTCAAACATAGCAATACCTTATAAAGCACTGATGACATTCACACTGACGTTTCACCAATTATGTTCAAGTGATTTTATCTCTGGCGATTGGATTAATTCAATGTTACGGATTGATTATAAAATACATGGTGTTCCTGTATATGCTTGGCGTGGTTTCAGTTCTCGACATTTTCGCTTGTTGTCTACTCTTTGTCGATTAACTAATGAAACTGTAACTCACGCTATCGAAAACTTCGGTATACAAAAACTGGTCACACTCGATGTAATCAAAGAAGATGATTTTAATATTCAATTAAATACCGCTCTCAATCAATTTAAACAAACACTTATGATAAACTTTGACCTTCTCATTAATACGATTCAACTTCTCATTCAGGTAGATCAGCCCTACACAAACAGCGACAACGCTCTCCTAGTCGATCCAGCTACGCAAGATCAGGCAGTCAATAAACAGTTCTATGAAGTATGTATCGATATAATGAATATAGTTTGATTTTATACATTTTACACTTCGTACAAAAAAATATTGTGTCCCAATGAGGTGAGAATCAGTGAAATTGATTTCAGGTCAAAATCTGGTGCCATATTAACGAATGTACTTACCCGATTAAGTGTGAAAACGAAAGATCGAATAAAAAAACAATAGTTTATTGTACAAATCAAATTTATAGAGTTCCTATCGTACAAATCTTTTTAACAAGTCACTTTGAGGGTCTAGGTGTGGATTTAAATATTAGCACCCACACCCAAAATTGATTTTTCTATCTTTTTGTAATACTTCGTATGGATGAAAGATCAATACTATACATACTATTCACATTTTTAAGGCGATTATATATGATTTGGTTGCTTTGTTTAGTTATTATTTAATCTCACGGGTCCAGCAAACTTGAAAACGAAGGCAGTCGATTGTATCTGTGCTACTGATCCTTATTGTCAAACACCAGTGGTTGATCCTGTCGATCAAGTATATACTTTGTATGTATTGAAAAAGTCGAAAGAAAGAGTATTGAAAGGGTGTGGGTGGGTGAGAGTGTGAGTGTGAATATAGACGATGGTGAAAGTGTTGTTCTGAATAAAAATACTGGCATTCAGCTTAAATCACATTCTACAGGTCGTTAGAAATATTATATGATCAATATTTTTATCTTTGGTGATTATTCTTCATCCTCCTTTTCTCGACGTCATTTTCTTTCGATATTTTCATAATAAAATATTTAGGGCCCTTGCCACATCGTTTAATGATGTTCCGGGACAAGTTCTCAGCTGCTTCAAATTCGATTCTGTACTCCTGTCGACACTTGAATGCTACTACTCAGATTCTTGTCTGGCTTTAAGCTATAAATATATCAACTTGACATTATATAACACTGATACAGATTTCAAGATGGTAAATGCCACATTACTTGTTTATGATCTAGTATCGAGCCGTTTTCCTCCAAATACATCAATCTCAGCGATATTGAAAGAATTAATGATTGAACAGTGGAATTCATCATTTTCATTTGATCGATATTATGAGACCTGTGCGCCGATCAAATGTACTTATTCTCAAGTAACACGTACGAATAGTTTTATTGGAACAGTTCTATTGCTAATGTCATCGATCGGTGGTCTTTCCGCTGCTCTACGGTTAATAACACCGTTGCTGATAAAAATTATTGTTCGTATGAAAAGACAAAGAGCTCCAGGGCAGCCAAAACAACAATCACAAGGTAGTTGCTTTTCAGATTTTGAATAGGTGAGTGTAAACATTTTTCATTTCATAGTTCGTCCGAAATTTATACACCGACTCCAAGCAATTCTGTGCAATATGATCAAATTGTTGTGCAATACACTAATCAATCTAAACATCTTTCCTCTACGAACATTTGGAAGCCGTATCGATCGACAAAAAGCGAAGGTTTTTGGTCAAATAGCAACGCGTCTCTATATAGTATTTCTCATCACAAGTATGATCATTCTAGCTGTTTACAGTATCACTCAACCACAAATTAGAACAAAAGTATTTGACAAACCGACAATTGACGATTACAATAACCTGTTACGAACTTACAATGACAGTTTGCATTGTCGCTGCTCATCTATTTCATCAGTGTATGATCATTTCATCAAAATCGAACCTGTTTATCATCAAGTGAGTAGAAAGAGTAGAAATTCACATTAGAAATCCTTTTTAATATAAAAACTATGGACAACACATGCTATACCTTCTTAAAGTAGTTTATCATCATGGAAATTCATAGCGTGAGAATCTGTTCGTATTAATCTTAGTTTCGAATTCGAGTAAAATAACGTAAAACGAAGAAATTTATCTAAAGTTTTTTGTATCGTATTTATCATAGATATGTTCAAGTGTATTCACCTCACAACAATGGCAAACCAATATTACTAAAAGTCTTGTTCCTGATCTTTCTGTTTATCTTATCAAAGATTATCGTCGTTTTATTTCATCTCATTTTCAATTTCTTTCTCATTTATGTTATCTGGCTACAGAATCTATGAATGATACAATTGATCAACTTCTTTTTTCGTTTCTGTTGACTAATGAACTCTTATCATCTCATGAACTAGATATGCGTATTGAGTTACTTGTGAATCAAACTCGATCAAGTGCTCCTATTAACTTTCGAGATCGTCTTTTTCTCCTTCGAACAGCCAGTCATGCTACACCTATCATTTCAACTTATGAAACTAATTTTCGCTTTATTGCTCCATGGCTTAATGCTAGTTCTTCTTCGGCAATAACTTATGCATTAACATATGACAATAATTGTTCGTGCGCATTGGATATGACATGCAATACTCAAGCGGGTTTTTTTTTACAAAATGGATCTGTTTTTGTGCCAATTAAAGGTTTAAAAATGGGCTGTACACCAAGTGAAGCATTATTAGCTTCGACATTAGAATGTTTCTATGATTCATTATGTATCAATCGTATTCAAGAGTATACTATTGCTGCGAACAATTCAATAAACATCATTAATTATTCATCACTTTCCATTAATAATAGTCGATACTTGATTAATTCAACAGTAATGGAGCTTATCAATGATCTCTTTTTGGAAAATTGGGTGACAAATATAAGCTATCCTGCATATTTTGCAAAATGTTCACCCTTTTCATGTTCGCATTCTTTTAAACAACAATATAGTTTTATCTATACGATAACTTTGTTAATTGGCCTCTACGGTGGATTAACATTCATTTTCAAATGGATATGTCCTAAATTAGTTGTGTTGTTCAATAAAATATATCGTTATTGGAAAAAAAGAAGAAATATTGTTCAATCCGATTTATCAACCACTGTGACGACTGTTGAAAACACTGTTACTATACAACAAACAGCTAATGTACACAATATCGTTGTACATTCAGATGAACAACCTACAAGTTCATTACATACGTATTTGATTATTTTGTTAATCATTACTATAATCTACCAATTATTTCTATTTTTTGTAGGATGCAATTTTCTACGAGAACCAATCGGTTTTTCATCTTAGGGACTATAGTATTCGTAGCTATGATAATTGTTTTAGTTATTGTATCTATTTACTTGAATCGCTTGGTGAAACCAGTTGATACAATATTTACAAGTATAATTATCGTTTGTGTTTGTCTGATAGAGAGAAATTATAGATGTAGAAACGAATGCAAATTCATTTTATGCAAAGGATATACTATCGCATTTTCCATAACGAGATTATAGTGAACTAATTTGAATTGTTGACTTTTCCGTATTGCAATCTTGTCAGTAGTGTTTCGCATGATAGTTTGTTACAAAGAGTACACAACGAAGATTTATATAATAAAAGATAGTATTGTCTATAAATATATTAATATAACATTTGTTTTATTTTTATTCTAGTACCATCAACAGTTAGTACAATGATCACAACATCCAGTATGATCATTTCATCAACACCAGGTTTGTATAGTGATCGTGTATTTAAAAAAAATTTAACCATTATATCTTGTATGAGAATAACTAGTATAAGACTTGAAGAAATTGATGGTGTTGGTAGGTGTAGCTGTGTCTTCTTTAACAACACCCACACCCTAGTTTTCTGTTATACAAACAAACTTTTGTTTGATTGTTTCCATTTTAATCTTCTTAGAACCACCATGCCAAGTGACATTTCAATTATCATCAACATACCCGAATAATGGTGATGGTGGCGGATCTCATCTTGCGGCTGGTGACTTCGATAACAATGGTTATTTAGATATTCCTTTCGTTAATCCAGGCCCTGACACTATGGGAATTTTATTGAGTAATAATGACGGAAGTTTTAGAGTACAAGGATCTTATTCGTTCGAACAACATACTGACCCATCATGGATTGTTGTTGGAGATTTTAATAACGATGGCCATGCAGATATCGTTGTCATTAGTTACACATATAACATTATAAGTATCTTTCCTGGTAATGGTGATGGAATTTTTGAAACTGGAATGACATCGTCAACCACACCTGTTTTACATCCAGAAACCGCTGTTACTGTTGATTTTAATGGTGATGGTAATTTAGATCTCATTATTGGTGGTCTTGGTTTGTGTATAAAGTTTGGTGATGGTACAGGTAGTTTTAGTGCACCATTGGTGGTTGCAGCTGATATCGAATTTGTAGATATGATTATGACTGGACATTTCAATGATGACGATCTACTTGATCTGATTGTATTGGACAGTTATGATGCGTATATAAAAGTTCTACTGAATGACGGCCGTGGAGATTTCAGATTATCTACCGAATTTTCTACTGGACAATATTCTTCTCCAGAGTCATTTACTCTGTCTGACTTCAATAATGATAATCGCTTGGATCTGGCTGTTGCGAATACAGACAATAGTAATATAGGCATATTTCTTCAGAATAGCAACGGAACATTTAATCAAAAAATAACATATTTTACTGGAACATACAGTCAGCCAACTTCGATAGTAGCAGCCGATTTTAACAATGATGGTCAGATAGATCTGATTGTCACCAATCAGTATTTGCATAATCTAGGTATTTTTCTTGGATCTGGTGATGGAACATTTTTCTCACCAACCATATTTTCCACGGGCACTGGCAGCACACCGACAGACCTTATTGCAAGAGACTTCAACAATGATAGAAAATTAGATCTTGCGGTTGTGGATAAAAATAATAATAATATAATTATTTTATTCAATACATGTACTTGTTGTGCTGATGAAGTTCTTCAACAACAATAGTTTTACTACACAATGACTCTCATTTGAAATGTTTTTATTCATCAATTAATTACAAATCTGCTTTTGTTATATCTTTTACTCAGCTTCATTGTGTGTCGAACTTCGTAAAATCTATATATATATATGTTTAATTTATTTATTTGTCTCATTTGCTTCATTTTTAATCTTAAATGTTGTTATAAATAATAAATTCATTTAAAATTATTATTAAAACAGATATTCTTAGTTCCAGCAAGTTAGTTATATTTTTATAAGACGTTTTATATTGATAAGTATCTTCTTGTCATTTGTATCGCTGTTTTATATAAAAAATGTAGAAGGAAGATACGCTGATATTAAATGGTCAATTTATTGATATTGTGGAATTAATGCAAATAATGATTCATTTTATGAATTCAAATCTATTGTATATCCCACCTTCACATACCCACATCCTCAAGATGGAACTACAAAAGAGCATGTTATTAAACTTTAACCTTTGATCTTTGACCCGCGACAAACAGACATACAAACGCATTTTCATTTTTTTTCTACTACTTTTCATTCAGTTGAGGGTGTGGGTAAAGAGGCTCCGTCCTTTTTCATCCTCCCATCTTGAGGGTGGGTGTGGATGTGGGTGTCGGTGTGGGTGTGGGTGTCAGTGTGGGTGTGGATGTGGGTGTCGGTGTGGGTGTGGATGCAGTTTTAATTTACCCACACTGTCACCCACACCCTCACTCACACCCACACCCACATCCAATGCCACTCTCTACATATAATGCCATCATTCAGTGCATAGATCAACGGCATTTGATCAAAGTGCATACTAGTGAGGTAAACTATCGAAATTTGTGCTGTATAAGCACAAATATTTAAGTGCGAATGATGATAGAGAGAGAAGAACAGGCCATCGTTTGGATCACCACAAGATACTTTTTATCAGCGTACAGAAAGCATTTCTGAATATACTTTTATTGGAGATAACGAAAGATTTACATCAAACTCGAGCTATTAGTCTTGACGGTATGAGTGTGGGCATTAGCTTCGTATATTACTAGATTTATGACATTTTTTTTGGATTATTTTTCTCATAAAAACTCAATATTTAAGAAAGATTTTTTTCTAAAAGGAAAAAATCAAAAAAAATCATTTATTTATATTTTCTTTATCTTTTTTATTGCAAATGTCGTGTATTATTGTTTTAGATTATTATATTGATAAAATTCTAATATTTAACAAAGACCTTTGTTTTTTTCTGGAAGTAGAAATTCGAAATTTTGTTTGCTAGTTTAGGTATACCCACACCCATCCATCAATTCCGTTCCCCACATCCTTAAGCAAACCACTGTCGAGAGCTTTTTTATTTTTCTTCTGTCGATTAAAGTGAAATTACGCAGACTGTATTTTTTTATTGCATACCCGAGGTGAATAGTTTCTCTATAAGAAAAAAAACCCATTACTTATTATATTATATGAAAAAAAGCTTTTACTTTAACAAAAGCCATTTGAAAGAAAGCTTTTAGAAGTATAAGTGTGTGTAAGTATGGCTAGTCTATTTCATACACATGCACACCTACACTAGGCTCACACTATCAAGATAGAAAAGTGAGACTGTAAATAGTTTCAAAGTAATAATAACATCTTCATATATTTACATCTATTCAAATTTTATCCCATCATATATTCTCTTTTTCTGTCGTACTTTTTTTAGTGCAAATATTCATCGTCTTAGTTTATTCTCCTTTACTTGTATTTGTTTTAGGCCGTTTTCTCATTCAATTGTGAATAGTAAAACATAGTACATACTTTTCCTTTTTGTTTACGACACGTTGCATTGCAAGGTATAATTTATTGCATATATATTTCTTCAATAAGAGAACGACACTATTACATTTTCATTTTGGTATACTAGTTAATAACTTATAAGGTTTCGTTGAAGTATTATATTTCAAAACTGATTATATTTCTTTCAGAACAATTTCTAATGGCTAGAGCAATAGGTATTGATTTGGGTACGGTATATTGATGTGTTGCTGTATTTCAATATGGTAAAGTTGAAATTATTCCTAATGAACAAGGTAATAGAATAACACCATCGTATGTTGCATTCACTAATCATGGACGTTTCATTGGTGATGCTGCAAAAAATCAAATAGCTTCTAAC